AAAATGCAGTGTGGTGGATCGACTACAGGATCTCCGGGCCTAAATCTCGTAGGGCTGAGAGACGCTTGCTGCAACACGCAAGAGGATGCCGAATGATTATTGGTGACCGGGGGACTGACTGCCAGTGGAGCAGTCAAGGAAATCGACGGGCTACCGAGCTATGTATGTACTTAATAAGCAACCATGTGCGATCAATAATTGGATACTTCAGCCGCCGATGTGACAGTTGAAGCATTGTAAAAGAGTAAAATAATAAAAAAGGGGGGGTTTTAAGCGCCGACTCACATATCATTTGCCGCGACTATCTCTCGTATACTTAGGTACATAACTATTATGTAGTAAGCAGCAAAGACAAGGATCCTAGGTAGACGTACGACTTTTGACGAAAGCATAATCGGAGTAAGTAGTATAATGGAATGATGCATAGTGAAGTAGTGCATATATCACCAACTATATTGTCTGAGAGTTGGGCTATTTTTGTCTTAAATCAGCCAACCACATAAATGGAGACTTCTCGAAAGGCCCCAAGCTAAAATAAAAATATGTAATGGATGATGTGATGTTTGATGCAGTAGGACTTAATAAATCATATCGACATAACGGAAGAGATCGAACACAGTATTTCTACTATATCGATCAAGCGGTCAAGAACTAAAGAGTGAGCGGCCCGGGGATAGAGTAGTACACTGTAACATGGCTGCAGTGGCAGTGTTTCTTTACTCTCATAAAGAGCATCCACTGGATAGGACGAGCCGGCGTTGTTTTGATTCGCCTTTTGCCTCCATGAGCCTCGTACCGGAGATCAACACCCCCCCCCTTGTTCGTCGCCTAAGCTTGCGCGTCCTTGCGACGTAGTAGATTGCGACTTCGCTAGAATCGGAAAGGACAAAATAAGAAGGAAAAGAATGGGAAAGATTATGAGCCAAGCACTGGCCGCGTAGTAGAGAGGCGGTGTAGTAGTCTATTTCAAGTGAGAAGGGAAAAAAAAAATTTCAAGTGGTCATGAAGACAGGAAAAACCTGCTCTTTAGGACGACGCTATAGCAAGATAATAGTTAATAGTAATAGTTGATTCGAGGAGACAAGGATTCGACGATGAGCAAGCCTCGCTGAAGCTATGAAGTTGGTGGCAAGGCTGACTGATATGAAACTGTTACTAATCGGTCAGACAAAGTCGCAAATAGAGAGCGATAATTCGGCCGACTACCGTCTAAGATGGCGCCGAGGGATGGAGACGATCAAGAATTAAAACGCCAGAAAGCGTAGTGGCCAGACAGCCAGGTTATTATTGCCACGTTCTAATAATATAGACGGGTAAATTCTGCCTGTCATACAGTCGTACGAAGAAAAAAAAAATAGAAAGACGTCAAAAGAGAGGAAAAAGAAGGTTTAATGTTTAGGTAAAACATAACATACCTATGTATACACACATACACATGCATGTATGTATGAGATAATTACTATTGTAAGGAAAATAAAGAATACCTAAACACATGCAAGATGGAGGATTAGGTAGTAAGATCAATTGGTAGATGGATGAATAGAGTTGTGGGGTTTGGTGGTAGTCGATGGTAGAGCAAACATATTACATTAGGTACCTAGGTACATGTACCTATTAACTCAAAATAGGTACCTAGGGTCCACTGGCCGACTTGTTTTCAGCTGAAAAGAACTTGCTCTATCCCCGCTGCACCACTTTGCATCCACTACGCCCACACTGTTGGACAACATCAACAGGACCCTGATAGGGCCCTATCACACTATCCTATCGACCTATCCTAATACCTAATACCTGTTTCATACTACAAACTTTCGCCCCCAAGCACCAAATGGCCTAAAATGGCCGCTTATTCGATGGCCTCTGTTCTTCGTGTCAGTCAACTTTTCAAGATTCTTTCATACCTGGTACCTACACCTAATTCACGGATGTAACCAAGATCCAGCATCGATGCCAGCGGCACTTGTATTATGCATCATTGGATATGCCGCCTACCTTGTTTGTTTATCCACAAGGCATCACTGCGCCGCTTTATTACATGATGATATCTCGCTTACTATTCGTCTGCTCGTCTTCTCGTCAAGGAATAAGTCAAGGAGTGTTCAAGGAGTATTCAAGGAGCAGTAACTCGTACATACCTATGTAGATCTCCACTTACAAGTTAAGGTATGCAAGGTATGTAAGGTATGTCGGCGTCTCAAGGAGAAAGAAAAGACGACGTGCCATTGGATATTTTTACCTTGCTTTTCCGCGGCATTTGTAGATGCCCATTTCAAAAGGCACCCTCGACCTACGAGAGCAAGCTTTGTACACTAGAACGCCTCGGCCCCCTTGTGTATATTGCCTGTATATTGCCGCTCTACGAGTCTCGTGTTCTGCTTCACCATCGCCTAATAACCGAGAGCAAGGGGAACAAGGGGCTGTGCTTGAAATCTTTCGCGGGTCATCTTCTCCACGTACCACATCGTCCGTCTTCTTGTCCAGCTTTCCCATCAAGACATGTTCCTCTTTTTTCAACGCCAGCGGATTTCATATTTGCTTCCCCCGGGCCATCGCTCCGCCGGGGATCGACTTAAACCAGGTTTGCTAACGCGGCGTAGGGCTCACCTCAGCTGAACCCCGTTCACCACCCCGACCACCTCCGTACAAGATAGGGCTAGTGGTTCGAGGCTAACTCGCTCCGGAAGTAGTCTCGCCATAAATCCCTGGTGGTTCAACCGTTGATCAAGCAAAGGAGAAAAAAAAACCCCCCACGGGTCCCATTTAGACCCTATCAACTAACAAGCTCACATTTCTTCTTAGATTAAGTATGCTAACTAACTGTCTTTTAGTATAATGTTTTAGAATGTATCTCCCTCGACGTTTCCAGGGTTCGGTCTTTCTACCTAGCGCCGTATCAAAAATTTCGCAAATACGGCGCACTTATAAGCAAGTCTCGACCATTATACTGTGCATACTTTTAGTGCCTGCGTAGCACATGTCAGCTATCCACAGCCCTGTGCCTCCAGGATTATGTGCATGTCTAGACATCAAACATAGACACAAGAGAACTAGTATGCTCACATGCCGTGCATATATAGGGCATAGACCCTGAATTCATGCTTTCCGGTCCTCCTATTGGGTCCCGATTCAGCTGCGTCGATTAGAACGGATATACGTACAATTCGTTATCTGTCTACCCAAGTATCTAGGCAAGTATCTAGGTATTTAGGAATAGATCGTGCCACGGGCCATCACTTACTCCCTAGGTACTTAAGCCTAGTAGGTAAAATAGTTACCGTCCCTGGTTACCGTCTCAGAAGCATTATTCGAGTCTAGCGCCTACAGAGACTGACGCTTAAGCCCGAGCGTCACGATGCATGCGTCACAAAAGGGCCACAACCACCTTATGAGCTACCTACCTACTATCGTACCTGTGTAACAAGAACCGAGTCGAGGGCGCTCCAATCCTACCAATAACCAACATCTTGTTATCTTCATATCAACGCTGCTTAGAGAGTACGCGCAAGAGGGCAACTCCTAATAACAGCTTCAAAGCTCCCAACAGCTCCACAACACTCCACATACATAGAAAAATACAAAAGTCCGTACTCTCGGGAGTCTTGTTGGAGCTCGCTGAAGAATAGCAGGGATCTCCATCTTAATTTGTTCGATTCCAGCTAACACGTTGATTTCTTTCGTCCCGCCTCGTTCTTCACCTCATCCTAGATTACACTAATATTCTTACCTCGTCTCGTGCTCCCTTGTCCACCGAAGTGGCCGGACAGATCCCGACTGACGGCTAAGCTTACGGCGTAATTTCGTGCCTCAGATAATTTCATCAACATGAATACGGCCTATTCTTTTTGCCCCAGTCTCATATGCACGATGGATCGTTTCGCTATCGTGCAGCATGACGGCATAAGAGGCGTTGGCTCCAATAACGTAGGCATTGCTCAACCTTAATCCACGAGGCTTCTCGCCCGTATAATCCGTCCCTTTTACATCGGGTACACTCAGTGTTGATATACTCAAGAATCTGACGGCCGTCCTACACAGACCCGGCCCGCCGTTTTCGCGGGAATATGAAGCCTAGGTCCAACAGCTACCCAATAACATATCCGACTTCTCTTATACGGACCCGAAGAGGCAAGCCGCCAAGTCATCCACGTCTCCTCAATTGAGGCTGACTGACAAAGAGATGGCGGGGCCTTGAAGAAGAAAGTAACTAACTCTCACACATCCACTCCCTCTCCACTCACACTCACACCCTCCCCAGACGCTCGGGCTGTTTATTTTCATGATTGTACTTCCTCTGTAGATGGTCCTTGTCACTTAGTCCCGTCAAGTTGTGTCTTGGTAATGGGACCTTGGCTCGATGTAGTAGTACCAGCTCTGGGTAACGCCCGTATAAATCTCTCCTCGTCTCCCGCCTCTCTAGCTTCTTTAGATCCCCCAACGACATCAAGGGCGCTTATATTACGTCTGTTTCCACGCCTGGACTGTCAACTAGGTAGCTCCGCAATAGTTTGGTTATGTCGTGCCTGTAAGCTCGAGATTGACTATAAAGACTTACATCCACCCCAGCGCTTTCTCTCTGCTGTATGCAGACGCGAGTGATCTTATCTCCCCAGCCCTCCTTTTAGGACCCCAACTTGTAAGCTGCCGGTCGAGCCTTGTTTATTGAACATCTTGACCTACCGAGCGACCGCGATTTATCCATCATCTGCTTACCAAGTCATCAAGTTCCTACATCTGCACATACGCACACTCCCTCCTCCCCTGATCTGCGAGCCGGGCCGCTTTTTGTTACCCGCGCATATTTCACGGTGTGTTTGATATATCGAGGCCAAACCCGCTGAGTAAAGCGAGAATCCTTGCTCAGTCCTTGGGTTGTCCCGATCGACATCCCGGTCCACTCTCCGAGCTTCTACCTACTAGTACAAGATACATACATCGGTGAAGGCCCGACCCCAGAGGGCACAGAAAACGCATCTCATTATTAGTTTCCCTAATAAGAAAACATGCCCGCTGTCAATCTCCCTCTGCAGCAGGCCCACGGTACCTTATATATGGTACCGTGGACCCATCTGCGGCTCTTGTTCACCTTCTTAGGATTCACTTCCCTCGGTGTACTACTACTAGTGTTTAAGAGATATAAGTCACATTCCCCAACCTACACTGGTCAGCTGGATGCCAGCCCTACTACTCTTCAGAAACTTTGGATTTCAGAGAAGTCACGCGGAATCGTCTTCCAGAACGAGATCATGTCAGTGAATCAGCCCTCAGGAGTCTCACAGCTGTCCTCAGCTGGGAACTTAAGTGAAGGGGAAAAGAAACATCATGATAGGTCCAAAGACCGAGAAAGCAGCGAGGGGCATCAGGGAGATATGACAGCTTCCGTGAGCATAGACGCAGGCATGCCGCTGATCCTTAAATCTGGCCCACCGCCGCCACCGCCGCTAACACCACCTACTCTCTTGACAGGGGTTTTTAGTTTTCAGGACCGCCGGCTAAGCATTGCGGCTTCTAGCATGGGCGATCTGGATACGAGCTTCTTCCAGCAGCCGAACCCGGATTATACATTATCACCCTCGCCGGAGTCCAGCACAACCGCGTTAGCCCACGGTCAAGATTCTCCCTCTATTCCAAGGAGAAGGTCTTACACAAAGATGTTGCCTCTCGGACCAGCGCATACAGACTCGGGACACGATGGAGCATCTTTCTCCCCTAGCTCATTCCCATCCTCGAGCCCAATCTTACCCCTTGCGCCACATGAATCGCTCGATTCTAGGGAGATCGATGTCAAGGGCGAGATTATCTCAGTAATGGACGATTCAGGCGCCGGTTGGAAGCGGCATACGCGAGTATACGGCGGAGGTGTTTGCTTAGCTTGCCTGGCTTCTGGGAGCCAGGGAGGATTCTATGGCGATAATGTTCCCCTCGAGCATCGCCGTTAGCCATCAGGGCCTCCAACGAGAAAATAGGGTCGAGTTCGAGTTCCCAACAAAGAAGGAACGCCAAAGACTCGAGTCGTCCTGGAATATTAAGGCGTGAGCGGCGTCCCGGAGGAGCCGGAGGAGTTCCGATGGGTTTTTTTTTTGGTCGGTGGCCACGCTAGGAACTACGACGCGTCTACCCCGAGCTAGGACCGAGATATTCATTCTCTAAAACTGTCTGGGCAGCATTTCTACACACTTCCGAAGTGATTTTGACATATCATTTTTCTCTCTACTTAAGGCGGCTATACTTTTAGGGGAGAAAAGGATATACCTGTTTTGCGACACTGGTTACTGGGATTGGGGAGAACGGTATTATTTTACTCACGTCTGTTACGATCATTTCTTTGTTCTTTTCTTCTGTCCATGTATATACTTCCATGTCTCCCGACAGATCAACTCCGCAACTCCGCGTTGTTTAGAGTCATCAGCTTGCAACATCTCCCACGTCGATAAAAGTACTATTTTCCCTTTTCGTCTAGTTTTACTATTGCCTCCTCCACATGTTGCCGAATTGTCAAGAAAATTATTTTTTTAATCCCTCGCTTACTGCGTGGAGTGGCTTCGGTCATGCCGGGTGTTCTGAGCTTAGTGTCGCGGCGCGTTATTTGTTCGCGAAGAGAACGGCTGTGTTGGTGTTCAGGATAGGGCTCAGCCACCTTTGCATCAACATCGAAACAATTTCATTTATGCGAAGCCTTCTATGCTACTCAGTCAGTGTTAACAATGTTGACGTCACTTATATTAGCTCTGCTAAATGCAAAGGCCCTTTTTCTTTTTTTTTCTTTTTGGGGTTTTTTTCATATGGGTCCGTCATGCAAACCCCTAAATCTCTGGGCACTCATGAGAAGCCCGGTCGTCGTGCTAGTAGGTTGCTTACTCTAGGCAGATACATTATTCACACGATTCTAATTTAGAGAGGCGTGTTTTCCGGATGGCATCGCGCACGTCGATTCTTCAGTGCGAGACGATCGGCCCGTAAACATGTCGAAAAACAAAGCCGATTTGCCAGGAGGTACGCTGTGAAGCAATCCCGTCTGTCCGAAATACGCAAAGGACGAACAGGCCTCTGCTTGACGAAAATGTGACCGCTCACCGATCGTCCAAATGAGGAATAGGGGAACAGGCGAACAGGGGAATAGACCAGCCCCATGTCCCCGCGTCATGCTTCCCAACGGGTTTAGGGCTGAATCTTAGGTACATTAGAGTATGTAACGTCTGCACAGGACCCGGACCCCCCTTGCATCACTGTGCTTGGAAGTCTCAGAAGCACATAAAACCCTGCGTTGATCATGTTAGTCTCCTGTCACTCGAATAAGGAAATATGTTGACCCTTCTGGCTACGAAGTACTACATACTATTAAACTCCACGGCCTAGCCTTGGCGGCGGGCCATTGCCCTGTCACGACCGAGGAGGATTTCGCCTGGTTGACCGAGGGATCTCACGTCATATTACATAGGTGTCTCCAGGATCCAAGCAAGGGTTCGCACAATGCGGTATCCGCCCACCTTCCATATGGGATGACTCCGGTCTTAGGAGGAAGATTGACCATACGGTTGTCACTTAAGATCTTAGATGAAAGCTTGGACCAGAGAGCCAGAGTAAAGCAAGTGCCCAAAATCCTTTGCTACTACGAAAAGTAAAGACATCTTCCTTGGGACGGACACGACCGAAGATTCGTCCTACCGCAACCTCGGTGTAAAATAGGTAAATCTGTTATTATTATTATCATGGTATAAGCTTCGAGTTTGTCATGCGGGATGGAGAGTTTACAACATGATGATCCCTCGAAAGTAATATGCAGAGTTCATGCAGTGTGCCGCAGCTCGGCATTGCGGCTCAAGAAAGTAAATTCATTTACATCGGTCCACTTGCAATACGGAACACGTACGGCCGTGCCATCAACCAACATGAATAGGCTAGGTCGATCGAGCTCTCTGATATCTACCCCCATGGCCCAGTACCCCTGTAGGACTCCGACCAACTACCCTGAGATACAACAGGCGCGCGCGGGTTCATTCAATTACACTACCACACACCCCACGACAAGCCTTCGGTTTTTGTATTTCCTACAAGGCCTAAAACCGACTACATTACCTATTCGGGCCCTTTTCAACAAGGTGCTCACCGACTCAGTGTAAGAGGAATAGCTCGGGAGGCGGCCTCTTATCCGACAGATCTCAGATATGGCACATCAACTCCATTATAGAAGGTAGTTTCTCCACATCAGCTGATACATACAGAGAACCATCTTCATGAAGGATTCTAAAATTACATGCTCATATCTTTTATCTCAAGTTAATATAAATGGAGGCCTACTACCATATAACCCTTAAGTTGGAAACCGAGTGGCGGTGATCCTAAATTAGATGGTATGCCATTTCGCCTATGATGCTCGCGAGGTATTGTTTAAATTGTATAACAAACAAGCATCTAGATCTCTGTAGGGCAACCACACCTTGATCGAGGTAATAAATGGGAACCGATCCGCCCATTCCTTCTCGGATCTGCCGTAAGCCTCGGGAGCCGGCTGGGCTTGTCAAATGAGATCTCTATCCTAGGGCTGGAACTAGGGTCGTCTCCTACGGCAATGTCGTTAACTAGTAGGCTACCTATATGTAACGTTCCGATAGTACGTATCTAAACGACCTACGTAAAGTTCACATTGCAACAAGGGTAAGCGGCCAGATGCATGTTAGTGGCGAGTCGATCAAAGTTAGAAGTCAAGACCGAGCATCCCAATATTTGACAGGACTTGGGACGAAATATCCTATACGCTTGCAGTGTCCTATTCAAGGCATGCGAAGGGACATCTGAGGTGGCTGGCAAGTCCTGTAATGGGAGGTTAGAATCTGTGCCGGAAGAAGCGTATGGGTTTACTAATATGGTTCTAGAGTACATGTATGATTCATCCCTGGACGTAATCGCGCTGCTATCATCAGCAATTAAAATACCACCTAGTAGAGGAACTTTTGTGAATGCTGGCGCAACTTAGCTCAAGGTCATAGATGAGTTCCAGTTGACTCTAGGGCTATTCTAGCTTATTGCATGATTTTGAGACTCTATATGTCAAAGGGAGGTAGTAATCGGACCGCGCCGCCATGTATTAAGCTATCCTGATTTGATCGAAGCCACAGTAAAGAATATTATTCATCTGCTTCCTTTCAGGGTCTCTATCCCCAAGTTCCCGCCTTCTATATACATTTCCCGCACTCAACCCCTAGAATCAAGACCATGCTCCAAAGAAAGAAGTCCAGCAGTGTAGGAACACTTCTATTTACTAAGGGAAAATGAGAAAGTTATGACATAGACTACTCCAAAATGAACGCGTTTTATCCTTAGCAGCTCAATCATCTACTCATAGCTATGAACCCTAACGACTCTATCCTTTAAGGCAGGCGCAAAATATATATCAAGAATTTGAAAAACCAAATCTAGGAATCCCGTTTTGAAGCAAAACTACTGCGTCTTTATTTCCTTTCTCCGATAGGCGGCCAACCCGTATATATAATATTTGATCTGAGGAGAAGACACGAAAGAGCTTAGGTACTCATACGCTACCACCTATAAAGACGAACCCATGAAGGCTACGGATTGGTGCATACGCTTGTTATATCTTACATTTATATCCTAACTGGCCATACCTCCGTGTCTGGGTACCTAATGTTCCATGAATTTAAGAGCCTTAAGCTCATCGCTCAGGCCTACCACTGCGGGCCCTAAATCAACGATTAGCTTGCAGAAGATATTGTAAGGAGTTAACAATCGGGGATTATGGATACATTGAGCGAGAGGCAGTGGCTTTGCTTATAGTATATGAGTGTGTTGATGACTATTTTGACCCATGTCCCTTTTAAGGATAGGGGAATACCCTCCTTATATAGACTTGGCCTAATATCTAGCGGCTCCTCTACGAGGGCAGCCCTATTGATGACGCTAATATATATCAACTACGATACTCTAAATATGCTTCATCGCGTCATATGAGATAGATTAGTAAACCACCCACTGAACTCCTTGCAAGCCCCTAATAGGTGAGCACTATGAATGGCGATTAATTTGGCCCTCTTTGTAATATTTATCGGCCCCCTCGCCAATGAAAAACTATCTAGATACCCAGCGGACATAGGCAATAGTATCGTACCCTGACAGTGATAGCAAACTTCAGTCATCGCTGGAATATTAAGTTAAGATTGATATACCGTGCGGACAATAGTCTCCTTAGTATTTTTTAAACTTGTTTTAAACTATCTTAGGAGAAAACTAAAGAATACTCGAAATGACTAGGTAGTTCTTACTATCAGGCAAAGTTGATAGCTAAAGACCGGCCCTACCTAGATGTCGCTTGTTAGAAAAAGATATGATTCTTAGAGACTCATCCATGGCGTTGAAGCATAAAGGAGGGGGTAGATTCTCATTACATGTGTTATTACTAGAAAAAGCGCCAGGGCACATTAGAACAATAGATGAGGAAATTGTATATGCGCATACCTGGCTATTTGCACGTGTCGACCCCTAGTCATTTTTAGTATGTCCTGATTCAAGCCTAGGTTGACTCGAGGGCTTCATGTCTGTTGAGTCACATGGGGTCGTACTACCAGTGGGATTAGGTTATGATGGAATAGAAATAATCGAGTAGAGTCTTGAATTATAACTACATCAAAGGCAATGTTATAATTCTCGCTAATTATGATTACCGAATGCTCTATTTAGGGGCTTCTAAACATATGTTCTATACTGTTTCTGAAGTACAAGTTGTTCCGTATTTAACTAACGTATTTGTTTATTTGCTAGGTACCCTAGAAGTTTGCCGGTTCGTTCTATTGTGCTCCCGTTGGCCTTATACAACTGGCTTTTCTAATGGATATATCATTTTCTCTAGTGAATTCTTCGAATTAAGAAGCTATTATGGACCATGGACATATCCGCCTGTCGTTGCCCTTCGGATATCACGTGTTGACCGTCTAATGCGAGAATATTCTGGGTACCAAGTGCTCCGAGCCGCTCTCAGTAAGCTATGTGTGACGACGGATATATTATCATTACATGGTCGGGTAGCACACAGCCTCGTTGGTTATCTACTCGTTAGCCAAGGGAAAGGGATGTATTTGGGACGTATTTGGGGTGCTAAGCACGTGGAATTGGCGGCTTATCAACGTATAGCTCGATTTGATCACTCGCAGAAGCCCCCAGGGCCAGCCCTAATGCCAGGCTCTTGTCTCAAGCCACTGTCCACTGGCTGCTACATAGGCGAACGAATAGGAGATCTGAACGCGGATTCGCCACGGCTAATGGAGCCACGTAGAGTCGTGTACACAAATATAGTTGGGGTCCAAACGACTTATAGCCAGAAACTAGTTTGCCGATGCCGTGCATGAGCGGACTCGGCGGGCGCTTGAACCCTTGAACTCGGCATGCGTAGGTTGTAATTTTGGTTCGGTTCGGTTCGTCATTTTCTAAGCGCCGCTCATGCGCAGGGGGGAGGGGGGTGGGGAGGATCACGGACTTCAGGTTGCATCGTAATTATATGTTGCATGCGGAATACGATAGTACATACAGCCTTGCACACATAATCCGGTATGTATGTAGTCCCTGCAGCTTGCATTTCTTATTCAATTCTACATAGTAGATGGAGTAAGGGAGAATCGCTCGTTTGTACTGTGCAATGTAGCACCTCTCGTTCGGGAATAGCTCACTATACTATGTAGCTCTAAGGCGAGTCTTGTTCGTACGTAAGTATAAATCATATTATTGATTGTAGGGAGAAGAAGGATATGTGAGTACCTAATGTATTGCTGTTGGCGTAGTGACGGACGTCGTAAATAAGATATATCACCGTCAGGTCGCTCGGGGTCGCGTGGGTTGTAAGGCTGTATGTACCTACCTCCTAAGGCATGCCGTTTGAAAAGCTGGTCGGTGTTGGACTGACTGGCTCATTAGCCGCGGCTACGTGCGTCCCTCCCCTATATTCGGCGTCAAAATAGATGGTAACTCACGAATATTTAAGGCTGGACTTAGACGCGCTCAAGGTGGATGCTGCTAGACGGTGTTGAGAAGCAGATGTGACCTTTCCCAAACCCGAGGGGTCTTTGAGGCTTGCTCCAAACGTCCGACGTCCGTGGGTCAACATCCATGGACCTTGATTCTGAAGTGTACGTATGGAGTACGGATTCGTATGTATGAAGCTTACCATTTTTCCCCACTGGGTGGTGGGACTGTGAGTGAACGTCTCAGATGGTTTTAGCAACTGGATAGCTGGGGCACATTGACCCGGGTTCTGGGGCTGTGGCTCATGGGGAGCGGGCTGCATCGCGTTGATCTTTATTCCTCATCCATCAGGAAGACCTACGTGGTTTAATGTCGATCACTGCTATTGAACCAGTGACGCAATGTATTTACGTCTATTATATAGATATCTACGTAGATATATATATTAGGATTCTAGAATATAGGTGTTAATATATGAGGCCGAATCTTGTCGACCTCAAAAGTCGGGATGTCTAGTTCTAAGTTCCATTTCACATGCCTGCCGCGTTGTTGGTCAATGACCTGAGTCAGACCTTTCTGTTCAAGTTACAATTGTGACTGTAGTTGTAAATGTCTTGATATGCTATCGTGTATGTCGTCGTGGTCAGACTAGCTTAGTGAGATTTAGAGGAATCTTGTCTGCCTAGGTGAGCCGGTAAGTTACGAAGGTAATCCGTGTACGGATTACTGTGTAAGGATACTACATATGTAGGTTAGGTATGTTCGGATGATGAATACTGCTGCAGCCATGACTCCATGTCTCCATGATGGTGGGCTGGGTTTCAGGCACATGAAACAACCATGCAAGCATGGGCAGTGGTCGATCACAGGGGTTTAATCTCCCCATACAGAGACCATACAGGAAGCATACAGGGAAAAGATCCTTTCGAGTCCAAATCCGGACGATGACAGGGCTCAGTCAAGCCCAGTTTGCCTGCTCACGAGATCCTTCTGGCATTCTCGTCTCTTCTTTTTTCCCTCGCATCTGTGTCTACGTATCTGCGCCTCTTCGTTATAGAAGTTGAATAGAATGAAGCATCGATGTTTGGAGGCGACATAGAAGCTCAAGTATCTTGAACTGTCCTAACTTTATAAGGGTCTGTAATACATATTGCATAGGTACCTAGGTAGGTATTGAGTATATCTTAAGTACCTACCTAAAGGTAGCTAACTAAACATAAATATCAGCTGAAAAACCTTGAACATAACAAGGTACCTGGTACCTATCGAATGTCGGACCATTAATACAAGTAATTGGTCGATGCGAAGGCGATAAAAGGAATGCTTACCAGGAACCCGATCGGGAATGCCTGCAAGATATACATAAGTACACTAACGGCGAAGATAAAATGGCAGCGCTATAGAACTGCTAATCTTTTTCTTTTTTCTTTTTTTCTTTTCTCGTCTCTATCGTAGAGGCAGAGGTGGTTAAAGTCTTCGGTTACACCATGTTTTGTACCTTTATCCTAGCTATGATTTTGTGCACATACATGTACCGAGATGTTATAATATAAAACCGGGTCCTGAAAGCTGCAAGAAACAGCTTGGGACTTTTAAACAGCTTGGTTAAATTTTCCTTTTGGTCCCCCTTTTAGGAGGGGATACTCACTTCTGGTTGGTTAATTCTTAATCCCCGCGATGAAAGACTAAAAATCCCTTTCAGCCACTAGTAGCTCATCTATCCTGGCAGGTCTGAGTAGGGTGGTACCACTTTTAAACTGTGCTGGCTGTCACACCACACTCTTTTTACATAGATCTACATACACGTATAACACTGTATTGCACTGTACCTTCTGACCTGCTAAACTAAAAAAAATCGGTATGCATTTTTCTCAATTCGAAGTGCTACTTTTGTCGAAGAGATGTATATTTACATATGTAGGTGTATTCTGATCTTTTCATTATGAGAACAAGTCTCTTCTCCAACTATATAGGTGCATACATTATTACATCTTGATATACCTAGGTAGGCAGCTGTGATATAAGTAGGTACGTCAGCATACATACCGTCAAGTACCTAGTAGAAGGGGCAGTTTCCCCGGCATGGATATACGTACATACATGTATGTACCTAATGTATATCAGGCGCGGTGCCTGCTATCCTAAATCGGGTTCTGGATTAGTGGTCAATGGTCAATTTGGTGCTTTGGATCCACCATCTTAACTCGCTAGCATCCACCACCGCGGCAAAATTGAGCCCCTGCAGCCAATCATCGATGCTCTTTTCGACTCATCGACCAATTTAGGTCGGTAGGTATACAGTGCAAATACTTTCTTATCACTATACGAAGACGAATAGGATGTCCTAATGTCCTCAGTAGGAACCCACAGTCCACAGTTCCAGACAGCAAAGTGCAGCGTGCTTGCATTCGTTGGCCCGACCTGCCCACCCGCCAAAAACCCACTGCAGCAATTTTCACTTTTCCCACTCCTCCTGCAGACCAGGCACAAGTATCTTTCCCTTTCATCCACCACACTCTCAACTTTTTTGTCCATCTTCTCTTTCTTCCTCCCCTCCTTATCTCCCCCTATCGCATCTCGCCCTTCCTTTATTCTCTCTCTCTATCCTGTTGGTTCCTAATCCTCCTCGAGGTTTCCCATTTTTTGTGTTCGCGCGCAATCCAATTACTATCCGTCGTAGGCTTGCCCTTCGTCGTTGCGTCAAGAGGAGAGGCAGTTCCTACATCGCGTTATCTCGAGAAGACGACAATTTGCCACCATCATCGCCAGCTTAGTATTTTTTTCACAGGATTAAGGGAAAAGAAGAGGAAGAAAGTAAAAAAAAGAAAGATAGAAGAGCCGGAAGACCCGATCGATTTATTCGACTCCTTAATCATTGTACAAATTACCGAAGTTTTCTTTTCTCGCCGTTTTCGATTCGAATCGCCTTTACCGTATACCTTATACTTGACTGATCATAATATCGTCCTTCCCAACTACGTCAACCCGATAGCAAGAAACTGTGAACGGCACACGTTTAGGAGAAGTAAAAGTCACCCGCAAGGTTAAGATTGTTTAGAGTGGTTGCATTAGACATCCTCTCAGTTCTTTCGTCAAGAGTCCCTAGAAACAAGGAACTCTTTCCCGTCCCAAGGTACTTCCGCAAAGATCAACGCCCAAGAACAAAGCCCTGGGTGCTACAAATCGACACTGTCAACCTTCAGGATCAGGATTCGGCCTGCCAGCGTGACGCTGCTCTCGGACGAGTCAAGCCAACAAAGAAAGCTCCAGCCTTAGGTAGTCTTTTCTACCTTGTCCCCTGCGTAATTTCGAGGCCGCGATTCCTCTATCCCGTCCTTTGCACCGACTTCTGTTCATTGCCTTGTCTCTGACCCGGATCAATTGGGAAACCTCATTCGGACAATCTTCAACCTTTCTCCTTCTTGGCTTAGCTACGCAGCTTCCTGTCATTAGCATCGTCTGTCGCTCATTCGGACACGACCACGGATTAGTTTAATAATTATTCCCCAAAGAGACAAAACAACTCCACGACAGCCGTATCTACTCGTATCCATCTTCTGCTTCTTGTCTACAGTTTTCCATCACCAGCATCAGCACAATTGTCTTGGTTTTGTTGGATTCTGCTCGGCGAGCCGCGTTTGATACGACATCCTTCCCAATTGCTACATCATTAGCCATTGCGCCGATTGTCTGGCTACACACCACGCAATCGCAATCGACGTTATCGACAGTCCCGACAATTCCGCATCGCATTAATCAGCCCTGTCTGGATCACATTTATTCCCATCAATCTACTTTGTTGTAATATCATATTGGACGCCCTGTTATTCCGGAGGCGATCATCCATTCCTTATTAGATTTCACTTCTAATTACTCTCACCGTCGCTTGGATTCGGATCTTGCATCTCGACTCCCTGAAACAGCTATTCCGTTGATAGATCACAGCGTTGCTTATAATTTGAGTATGGACACCGGCGGTCTTGCTCAAATGTCACACAACGGTTTCACTTCGCCAACCGGTTTGGGCATGCCCACCGGAGGGCTTGCTTCACGCCGCGGTGGCGGCCAGAATATTAAACCTTTGTCCTTCGAGTCTATGAAGACTCCCACTGATCCCAAGGATAACGGAGTTTCCACTCCGCGAACCAGCCGATCTCACCTGCTTGCGGGTCTTAGGACGGCTCCAAAGTCGGCTACCGCAACTTCTTTTGCCGCTGAGCCAACTTCCACTATCCCGCATACCCGTGTACATGGCAGGGATGGTGCTGGAAACATGTATGGTGGCCAGGACGGCATGTATGGCGGACCTAAGACGTCACTCCCCCGTCTTGCGACCCAGCAGCAGAGCTACAACCCGATGATGAGCTCTAGTCAGCAGCATTATACTGCCGAGCAGATCCTAGCACCCCCTGAGCTTCATCTTGATGAGCAAGTCCAAGATCAAATGGATCCTTCGCTCTATGCTCAGCTGGTAGCGACCAATATGTACCTAGCCCAGCAGCAGCAGCGATTGCAGCAACAGTTGCTTAGTGTTCAGGCTGCAGCTCAGCAGTTCCAGGCAATGAGCCTCAGCGGACAGTCAGTGTTGCAGCAGCAGATGGCCCTGCAGAATCTGTACCAACAACAGCAGCAGCTTAAGAATTTGCAGCAGTCGATGGCTAACCCCATGCAAGTTCAGCAGAGCCTCTTCCCCTATTATGACGCCGCCGGCCAGCAAATGTTCTACGTTAACCAGAACACTACTCAGATGAGGAACGTCGGCAATTATGTGGACCGCACTCCTGGTACTCCTCAGGGTTATAATCACTCGCAGGCAAACAACGGCACCCCCCGTGTTCAGGTTTCGCCGCCTCCCATGGAGAGCACCCCGCCTACCTACCGAACTACCTCGCCCCCGAAGAAGGTAGAAATAATCGCGGAACCTACACCCCTACCACCTCCATCTGCCAATGCCTTCCGTCGCGGCCATAAGAAGTCATCCTCCCTCGCGAATGGAAATAAGGGTCTGTCACTGTCGATGGATGATGGCCCTAAGTCGGCTGGCCCCAAGACGGCCTCCTTCCCGCTTACTCCCATGACTAATGGTGGCTATGGCCCTGGCCAAGGTCGTGCTGGAGAGCACCCTATCCGTCAGCCTCGCGGTCCTCCCGCACTTGATGAGCTTAGGGCGAAGCCTACTGCCAAGCACGAAGGCAGCAAGAACTTCGCTCAGCGAACTCGCCGCTCTGCTGTTCACAATCTTGTGAAGGCCGGGATGGTTAGGCGCAAGGGTACGGGTAGTAGCTGCGGAAGCATGAGCCCCGTATCCGAGAGTGCGGAGGAAGTTTGCACGCCTTTGACTGATAACGAGTCCGACTCTGGGCGTAGTGGCTCAGGCAGCCTCTCAGGCGATGCAGAGCCCAGTCTTGCTAGTTCCAGGACTTCCACAAGTGGCAGTTGGGGAGCTATTGGCTCCGACCGCCCTGGCTCGCGCCAGAAGTCGCGGAAAAGTGTTGATAGCCTGTCCAGTGGCGGTGATAGCGAGGGTAGCTTTGCGAGTGTGTTCAAAAACGGTTCTCAGCGCTCTAGTAAGACCGAGTCGATCGACGGTCAGCGAAAAGCGCCCATGCTCGTACTCACCAGCGCCGAGAAGCGCAAGGGTGGTGTTGTCGTAGCTTAGGGTGCAGCCGGCCTCAAATTTTCACGTAATAATGATCGCATGCTCCCAACGTCTTTGTCTTTTCATGAACGTCGCGACGGAGTGGTAGAGCCCTCTAAGCAGAGATTACGCACGAATGGACGGGACTAGGTTGGAGAACAGAATGGCCATTTCCTTTCGCGATTTGATTTTGGAGGGCGCTGGTAACTGGGTTAAGGGATGGCAGCATTCTGAGCTGTTGATTTCTATTTGCAATACCGAGGATCCCTTGGCTGGCATCCAGCAGTACACTTCTTCGAGGGGACAGAGCGGCTTGGAGAGAAAACCCTGTTGGTGGGATTCTTTTGCTGTTTATACTTCATGTCATTCTCTCGCACAAACCACACGTTTATTCGCTTCTAAATACGTTGAGTGTGGAGGAGGGACCTCACGGAGGGAACATCTCACTTACGATTCTTGTGGATGCTTATTCCCTAGAAAGCTGTGTAGGCTGGAGCTTAGCTTTGTGGTCGGGACACCTATCGATAGACTCATGCCTGACTCTAGATAGTGATCAATGGCTCAATTATAATTATATGCCAAGCCTATTTTGTTCGGTATCGTTTCTGACGTCTTGCCTACCTAACCTACGTAATACTTCATAGAACCTGAATATAACCCCTTTTCCCACACTGACCCATAGTTCTACCTACTCAGATGACCTTATGATTTACACGTTCAGTCTAGGTTAAGATGAGGCCGCTAATTGACCACTACCTTGACGTCGGATATCTCTAATCTCATATTGAGTAGTAGTGCCCTGTCTCAACTTGTATCCTGTTACTTATTAGTACCTAGAACCCTCTATACGTTTGGTACCTAGGAGTATCTCTACTTTTCCCAAGCCCCCTATTCGCTGGGATAGTACGCTTTAGCCTTACTAAGAGGATAGCTAGCTCTCTCGTTAGACGAGATATTCGCGAATTACTAAGGAGGGCCCCAGTCCTCTCCAGAGATGACGGCATGCTGGACGGCTAAGAGGGCTTAAAAAGTCTTCTTTGATAGCATTCATCCCGCAGGCCATAGCCGAAGCTTCGAGGTCTGAAGTGCTTCTCTACTGGATCAACTACTAGTGATAGCGTAGAAAAGGCGGTTCATCACGACACTGTTGTCTTTAGGAAGATGCAAGACTACGCTATAAAATTATTTCATAGCCAACTAATAGTGAGGATAGGGAATTCGACTTTTGTGATTATGAATGTTGGAGTCCAGTGGTCCCTGCTTTATACGGCGTTAGTAAGGTCGTGTTCTTAACAGTTGTTTAGCAATAGTCTTGAGGTAGGATTTAAGTATCCGATAGATACCCATCCGCCTTCAGGCATCATGTTATTGATTGTAGACTTAAGTCTAAGTTTCTAGTATTTATTTATTTATTTATCTACCTATGTAGATGCTGATAAGATACTAGTAGTTTTAAGATGCAGCTGGTATGAACCCCTTGTACATACCCAACTAAGTACCTAGGTAGGTAATGTCTATCGTGTTATATCACCCAATGTTGATTTGCTTGCTGTACACTCCTGCTTGCATTACAAGAATATTGACAACCACCATCGTTAAATCGTAGAATATACCCTTATTTTGGGGTCTTACAAAGTCCCTTGGGTGCTAATTTGCGGTTCTTTCTGCTTCTGCTTCCCTTTATTCTGTGTATTGGCTTCTGGGTCCTCCAACTTTGTTCTAATCCGCCGCCCGCGATGGATTAAGAAGGCAACCAAGGCTAGTAGAAGAAAAATTCCACCAAGGGTTGAACCTATACTAATCCCTGTTGTGGCGCTGGATGCTAATCCATCATCGCCCTGGTTGACGGTAGAATTTTTGCCACTAATATCCCTAGGGGTGTTATTCTGCCAACCATATTATTAGGCGGAGGTAGTGAGAAGAGTTTGAAAATATATCATTACCTGTAGAAAGCCGCCAGGGAGTGATAGCTTGGGCGATTCATCCGTACACCAGCCATCGCTAATGTAGAAGACGTAATCACCCGGGGTAAGATCGATTCCGGGTGTCAACATAAATGTATTGTTGCCTTCATATCCTATATTTCTGTGAGTATCTATAAACTTTTACAACTGCTGGGGGAAGCTCTAATACTTTTAGCGACCTCACCAGTCCACATGAGTCCCTCAGTTGTAAACTTGGCTAGGTCGATATTGACCAAGTCGACAGTGCCTATCCACGTGAGAATCAACGTCTTTCCATACTCGAAATCCCATGTATGTGTCGTGAAGCGGACTCCAGCCCGGCATTCCATCACCGGTGTTGGCAAGGCGAATGATTTTCTGAATAGCATCACTATTGGCTTACGCCAGAAGGTGTATTTCGCTAATATATGAGACGGAGAGGGAAAAAGGATAGAAGTAAGAGATTCCCCCAGGGACCCGTCTGTCAACCCGTATATTGAATGGCATATTTTCCTAGGACTTACCTCTGTAGTGTATGACAGTGCTTCATCCCGTGTTATGGTGTTTGTATGGCGTTTATGTTGCACACGTGTTACGGACGGAAGCGGGCAGCCTTATCCAGGAGGCTTGGTGTTACTTACCAAGAGATCACAAGGTGATTTGGAATCTTGATGAAAATACCTAGGCATTGTTGCTGGTACTTGGACGTTTGCACTGATGATAACTGAAGGTTTTTAATTATCGAAGTCCCACGAGAGCCCTCTTTAGCCCCTTCATCTATATTGTTATCCTAGAGCTCGATGAATGTAGTATAATCAGGAAGTGTGATTATCATAGCATCGAGTTTCAAGAACTCAATAACTTTTGTATTCTGCATATCTTAATAGGCACTTGGTCGCTGTAAAATGGACCTCGCTGGTCTTGTCTGCATGGAAGCTTAAAGTCAACTTCTTCGACGTTGAAATATCTCTTTTGGCAGACATCAAGGAAGGCTTTGAACGTGTCTTGGTTCCTTTCGGTAGCGGCAATGAGAATTATAACATGCGGAAACATTCCCGCCAATTCTTCTAATGTTCCAACGAGAGCCGGGATGACGCTCTTGTCATAGGTTATATCCGCGCCAAGGACCACATCAATCGGCATGCCGCCGTTCCAGTATTGGTCTTCTGTTCCCACAAGAGCATGGCCCCATTTAATATCCATTGCCCGGATTTGCTTTGAGTCTTGGAGGCCGTTTAAAAAGAAGTTCTCGGGAAGGTTTGCCACAACCTCATCAGAACCGTCTGAGGCAATAGTTAAAGTAGAAGTGAGAAATCTAGCACACAATACGGATAGGTATCCGGTCCCTGATCCTAACTCTAAAACTCGCTTCCCTCGAATAAGCGACGGGTTTGCGCAGAGAAATTGCCCCAAGTGAAGGGAGGCTTCCCAAGTACGCAAACCGGTGGTCCCCGAAGCAGAGATGAGATTGCGCGACTCGAGCAGTGTGATCTGAGGTGGAATTTGGGTAACATTATCACGACTGTCAAGTAGAGATAGACTATACGTCACATATGATTTCTGCTGAGCAGCAGTGGTTTCGGAGGGTAATGGGTGTACTAGGAGACAAGAGAGCGTATTCATCAAGTCGTCCGAAACCCCCTAAGGAATTGGGTTATCAACCATGGCTACATGGCAAGAGATATGAACTATAGAAGGTATATATATATATTATATATATAGGTATAATGGAATAAATAAATCATATAAGAGATGGTTTTCCTTACGTGACGATCCCAGTCCTCGATACTCGCTTCGATCCTCGACGTGAGCTCCTTAAGGACTCGTAGCTGGTATCTCCGAGGAGGGGGATAAGCAAGAGCGTCATCAGAAAAGATGCGGCGGTATATAGTATCTTGGATATCTGCGTCTTGCAGGAGTGCAGGTGGAGGATAGTCAAGATCTTTTTCTAATTGAACGTACTGAGAACAGAAGCGGTCGATGGTATCAGCTTTCAGCTCGTGTTCTTTTACTGGCATGTTCAAAGGGTCCACAAGTTTCAAGCTCTTCGAACGGGTAAAATTTTTGGAATCTCAGGACAATACTGAGTCAAATGGTTTACTTAGTCTTCGCGGAGTTGAAGTTGGTGATGTTGCGATGTTGCGGTGTTGCGGTGTTGCGATGTTGCGGTGTTGCGATGCTGCGATGCTGGAAATAGACTTGAATTACATGTACCTAGGTACCATACACTACGTGGCTGAGATGGGCGGTGTGGCTGTGCGAAATACCTTAGGGTTTTAACCTCGCGTATGGGTCTTGCCCTGTGCACAACTTAAAGCAAAAAAGAAAGCAGAAAGCAGAAAGCGCAGGTCGGGAATTTATTCGGACCGGGTCTTAGCCCCAATCACACACAATCAACAATCCACCAATCCACCAATCCACCCACTTTCGGCTAACGAATTTTTGTGAAGGCCTTTCCACCCTGCGCACCTCAACCCGAATACTAATCCAGCAGCAACATCAACGCCAACCTTCCCATTTGGACAGATCGTTTCTTCGACTCCCCCTTCGATCCGTCATTAAATCGCGAAGATGGCTGACTCCGAGACCCCCGTCACGTTGCGAACTCGCAAGTTCATCCGCAACCCTCTCCTCGGTCGCAAGCAGATGGTCGTGTACGTTGCATCCCACTTCGATAATAATAAATAAAGAATACCGTCTATTCGATGGAAATATCACGATCGAGGATGTGAGAAATAGTCGAACACGACCGAAACTAACAGATCATAGTGACATCCTGCACCCCGGCCGAGCCAACATCTCCAAGGACCAGCTCCGAGACAAGCTATCCACCATGTACAAGGCACAGAAGGACCAGGTCTCCGTCTTTGGTCTGCGAACAAAATTCGGTGGCGGCAAGACCACTGGATTCGCTCTAGTCTACGATTCCCCCGAGGCCATGAAGAAGTTTGAGCCCCAGTACCGACTGGTTCGTGTCGGCCTGGCCACCAAGCCTGAGAGAGCGTCAAGACAGCAACGTACGTTTCTATATCTGGAGGACTGATGGAATGAATGCATTCGATATAAATGGAAATGCTAACAACTATACAGGCAAGCAGCGCAAGAACCGACAGAAGACCCTACGGGGTACCGCCAAGGTCAAGGGTGCCAAGGCGAAGAAGGAGAAATAGACGATGGGCTTCTAGGTGTTCTGGTCTGGTCTTTGCGGAGTGGGATTTGGCTCGGCTTCGGCACTGGCTCTGTGCATTATACGCGAAAATGCATCTCTGCATCCTACATACTAGTTCTCGACGCGGTACTAGTGAACTTTCCTCGAGGCGTGACGGAATGAATTTAAGGATTTCCCCTACGATAGCATAAATCAAGGAGTTGTCATGGCAATACCCATTTCTAGCTCATGTTTCTGGTTCATACGTGACTTATTCGCACGAGATCGTACGAGATCTGCTAATGGTCATCTGCTAATAATGTTTTTTTTTTTTTTTTTTTTTTTTTTTTTTTACTATCATAGTAACTACTAACTCTATAACTATCGATTCCTGAACGCCTCTGTTTTCCTAGGTATCTAATAATCGCAAAGCGTCCCAGACATATCATGATCATATTTCGTAAGTCATTAGGTTAAGAGGTATCTCTGCCCATACCCAAAAGGAAAGAAAGAAAAAATATACAAGGGACTTCACTTAGATGTCAAAGCCCGAGTACCAAGCCGCCAGCGACGATACCAGCCACGACGCCAGCGCGTAAAGCCACCTGCCCACTACCTTCGCATCGGATCCCGCTCGCTCCAGCGTCTAATATAGGTTCATGCCAGCCGCAGTGCGTTTCTAAAGGAAAGGTTACGCAGCTATAGTATGTAGTCTGCACATACTTGACACCTATTTCGTGGAAATTAGCCCCTGGTGGTGGTAATTCGGGCGAGGGCGTAATCTCAGGGTCGATTGTGGTCTGAGTTGATATAGATGTGGACGTAGGCGCATCGAGTGGTAAAGTAGTACACCTGCTCTTAGCAGCGCCAGCGCTCGTCGGCCGCGGTGTAGGACTTGACGTATTAAGCTGGACCGAGGGTATGCTACTTGGTACTATTGTCATAACTGATGGTATTGTCGCCAACGTTGTCGTTGTCGAAGGCGAACTGAGGCTTGAAGGTATAGCGGTTCGCGGTGTTTTCCGGCTAGCCTCAGCAAAGCTCAGCAGGGCTATTAGAGTAACGATTGCCAGCATCTTGATGGATATGAATCTTCAGCGCCGTCTATGCTCCTACTAAGAGATTCTTGTTTCCGCTAATAATAATGGCTCAGTTTCAAGGAATAGGATAGCTGAGATGGATTATATGTGCAGGATGAGAACAATACGCAAGGCGTGAGACCAGCTCAGTGTATGAATAAAATGTACCTATAAACTAAAAGGTAGAATTAAGAAGAATGAAGAATGAAGAATGCCTAAGAAGTCGTTGCGGATCTAAGAAGTTGTTGCAGATAGATAAACAAAGAGAGAAAGAACAGCGAGCAGAATCGAAGACGGATTGAATGAAACTAAATGCAATTCATACTGCCTCGAACTTCCAGAATCATCAACTCGTACATCGTACATCTACCCGTCATGTCCGCCTTCGTGATGCAAGCCAACATGTTGGTGTTAGTCAGAGGCACGCATGCACGTTGACGAAAGGAATAATGCAGTTAGGTCTGGTAACTAGGTACATGTATTGGACGATGTATCACTTTAGATCAAGCCTAAAAGGGATCCCTCCATTTATCCTGCATGTTTTGGGGAAGTTATTTGGCTATCTATCATCTGTAAGAAATAACTTCCCTCCTTGGCAGAGCAGAGAAAAGCTTCCAGATGGCAAACACGGCACGTCCTCCATCCTCGTGTGTTAGAGGCTGACGGACAAGCTTACAAACGGCTGGCTACTTGGCCATGACGAAGGAAACCCCCTGACAGGTGGAGGCTTGTCGCGGATGTGAACTGCATTGGATGGGATAGAGAGATATGATTGGCGCGTTGTATTGTTGTATATGCACTGATCCAGGGTCAAGTAATACCCCTTACCTTTTCCCCTCCTTCGATGGAAATGCACTGCATACCTATCTATAAGTGATATCTTAGATCTATAAGCCCGTATTGAGATTTGATATGTTAATAGCGACACAGCTAACGATTTGGGATTATATCCTTGCTGTTCAACTCATTGGGTTCGACCTCTTTCAGCTTAAGGCTAGCTGTTACTTGGCAGGCTACTGAATCGTCAGAAAGACACCAGACTATGGGGTCTAATTCAACCTGAATCACAAAATTCATCCTTTACCTACCCACCTGATGGGTTGGGTGTTATCATGGCCAAGAAGCGTTTCAAGTTGTTAAACTTGAGTCGTAGATCTGATTATATGGTGTTGCGACTTACACCTAGTAAGCATGTATCATGACCCTTACAAGTCGAAGTTCAAATCAAATCCGTCTCTTTAGTGGTAATATATTCTTCCAGCCTGAATACGTTGTAAAAGGCAGTATATACAAAAGGGAACATCAGAAGCCTACTAGTTCAATAATTAGGTATGTTTGAGTATACGATGCCATTTTATCGCCCAAGTAAACATCAAGATAAAATCCGAATTCAACCCGCATACCCCATTCGTAGACTAACTACAGAATCATATAAAAATTGAATTCCTGAAGAACCAGTAACTCCAGATCGGGCCCCATCCGATCAGCCTGGACTCCTAACCTTAATCAATCAATCTAGCAAAACTCGCTCTTCTCAACCTCGATATTCCACAACGTGTCGACGGATGACGGCTTGCATTGTATTGCTGCTCTCCTCGCCCTCAAATTTCAAGTTAACCTTCCCGTCGCCATCCATCCCCATAACCTCGGCTTTGTAGAACGTGGTAGTATTGGGATAAAGCGCCAGCACCGTCTTACCCGTCTCCAATGGCGGCAGCACAGTCCCTTCTCTAGGGATAAGGATCATGCTGCTAGCGTAAGTTCGGAAATCTTTTTGGTGACCATTCTCGTCCACGTCGGCGTCGAGAACCCTGTACCGCCTCGTCTTTCCGTCGCCGCGCACATCCTGGACGATGCCTAGAATCCAGTCCGTCTGCTCGTTACTTACGGGCTTCGGCTTGAAAGCGACCTCATCGTCTTTGGCGAATGTCTGCTTGGTACGGATGGAGTTAGAAGAGGGTCCGGCTTGCGGTTCGGCGCTCCCCGCCTTGGTTGCCGGAGTAGAACGATCCCTAGGGGGGACTGAGTCACGGTCACCCTTGTTATTATTATTTATACGGCGTATGGTGGGGTTTGGAGACGGGACGGACGACTCGCCAGATCCGTCAAAGTCATATAGAGAAGAGGCAGCAGCGGCTGACTCCTTAGCCCGCTGGACTCTCGAGGTGTTTACCTCTTGCTGCTCCTCCTTGGCCTTCTGCACGGCACGTAGTACCTTGAGTTTTTCGATTGTTTCGACGATGGCTTGACTAGCGATTTCATTGGCCTTTACACCCTTACGGTAGAAGTCATCGAGTGTATTATAGTCTTCTACAGTGAGGACTAATGAGAAGTATCAGATTACTTTGGTTATGCTTAATGAAACAAAGACTTTGATAGATGGAAGACGGGGCGGAAATGGGACTCACCGCCTTTGGTCCTCTTCTCGGCCATGAGCTTCTCCTGGTCGCGAATCTTGTTGACGTTGGAACTGCTGTCATTGAAGGCATTGGTGATAGCAGTGCCTTTGTCCTTGATGTCTTTCCACATGGGCAATTCCTCGCCGTGCTCGCCGATCTCGCTGTTCCGATTTGGACCTCTTCGCTGATTCCCTCGTGAAGACATCTCGGTGATGTTTTTATTACCTTATCTTAGGTACCTAAGGTAGGTCTTATGATAGTGGTTAATTATGATATGAGATGGTGAGATGGTGAGATGAGGAATGAGGAATGAGGAATGAAGAATGAAGAATGAAGGACGAGGAACAAGAACTGAGTGATAGGGTGCCAGGTACAAGTTCAAATCAAGATTAGATATAAGCTTTTAATCGTGAAGGGGAAGTTAAAAGAAGCATTAGAAGCATTAGAAGTGCTTGGATATATTTGTTTCATGGCATGTCTGAGTATAGCCATCTTAAGTTTGAATATGAACTGAGTAAATGAAGCTGCGCCTCTGTCGACGAACCACCAATGGTTCCATCCATCCATCCATGGATGTTTAGAGTTTGTGGCTTGTGGATTGTGGCTTGTAGCTTAGGTACCTAGGTACATCTCCTTTTTCAGGCACCTCCCGATACCTAGTACAAGCTTCGCGGGGTAACTCCCCCGCACCTTAAGCTTTACCTACATATGTTAACTGCGTACCTACCATAGTGGCAAAAGGTGGTTTTGAAAAACAGTTCCTTAATAGAGTACCGTACTTCTTATATACATTATTTATTAAAAAAGTAACGTTATTTCTTAAATAATCGTTACCTAAACAACTACCGTTTTTCTTTTAAAAATCGTTTTTTTTTTAAAAATCGTTTTTCTTTTAAAAATTATTTTTTATTAAACATTATTATTATAATAAAAATTAAATTTATTAAAAAAATTATTTTAATTATATAAATTATTATTAAAATATTATAAACTTTTAACTTATTTTTATTAATATTATAATTAATAAACTTTTTATTTTATATAAATTATACTTAAACCATTAATTAAAATTAAATATAATTTAATTAATTTAATAACTATAATTTTAATAATAAATAATTTATTAATTAATTTTTATAAAATATTTAAATTAATAAATTTATTACAAATATTAATATAATATAAAAATATAATAATTATAAAAATATATTATTTAATATAAATATTAAATAAAAAAATATAATTAATATAAATAAAATTA